ATCCCCCATGGACAGCCCGGGTGGCCCCGAATCTCCCGGTCCGAGATCCGCCCCGAGGCCGCGGGACCCGCCCAGATCCTCGATTGGGGAGAGCCCCAGGCGCCTTTACCCGGTTTCATTTTCAGTTGAGGCCAAAATCCCCGGGGGTTGGTCGGGCCGGGGCAGGGCTCCATGGGCGGGGCTGACCGCGGGGGCGGGGCCAGGGTCTCACACCTTCCAGAGTATGCATGGCTGCGACCTGGGGCCCGACGGGCGCCTCCTCCGCGGGTATTACCAGTCCGCCTACGACGGCAGGGATTACATCGCCCTGAACGAGGACCTGCTCTCCTGGACCTCCGCGGACGTGGCGGCTCAGAACACCCAGCGCGAGTGGGAGGCGGACCGTTATGCAGAGCAGATGAGAGCCTACCTGGAGGGCGAGTGCGTGGAGTGGCTCCGCAGATACCTGGAGAACGGGAAGGAGACGCTGCAGCGCGCGGGTACCAGGGGCAGTGGGGAGCCTTCCCCATCACCTCTAGATCGCCCGGAATGGCCTCCCATGAGGAGGAGAGGAAAATGAGACCAGCGCTAGAATGTCGTCCTCCCTTGAATGGAGAATGGCATGAGTTTTCCTGATTTCCTCTGAGGGCCCCCTCTGCTCTCTAGGACAATTAAGGGATGACGTCTCTGAGGACATGGAGGGGAAGACAGTCCCTAGATTACTGATCAGGGGTCTCCTTTGACTCCTGCAGCAGCCTTGGGCACCGTGAGTTTTTCTCTCAGGCCTTGTTCTCTGCCTCACACTCAATGTGTCTGAAGGTCTGATTCCAGCTTTTCTGAGTCCCTCGACCTCCACTCAGGTCAGGACCAGAAGTCGCTGTTCCTCCTTCAGAGTCTGGAACTCTCCAAGGAATAGGAGATTATCCCAGATGCCTGTGTCCAGACTGGTGTCTGGCTTCGGTGCTCCCTTCCCCACCCCAGGTGTCCTGTCCATTCTCAAGATGGTCACATGAGTGCTGCCGCAGTGTCCGATGAGAGATGCAAAGCGCCTGAATTTTCTGACTTTTCCCATCAGACCCCCCAAAGACACACGTGACCCACCACCCCATCTCTAACCATGAGGCCACCCTGAGGTGCTGGGCCCTGGGCTTCTACCCTGCGGAGATCACACTGACCTGGCAGCGGGATGGGGAGGACCAAACTCAGGACACAGAGCTTGTGGAGACCAGGCCAGCAGGAGATGGAACCTTCCAGAAGTGGGGAGCTGTGGTGGTGCCTTCTGGAGAAGAGCAGAGATACACGTGCCATGTGCAGCACGAGGGATTGCCAGAGCCCCTCACCCTCAGATGGGGTAAGAAGGGGGATGAGGGGTCATGACCCTTCTCAGGGGAAACAGGAGCCCTTCTGGAGCCCTTCAGCAGGGTCAGGGCCCCTCATCTTCCCCTCCTTTCCCAGAACCATCTACCCAGTCCACCATCCCCATCGTGGGCATTGTTGCTGGCCTGGCTGTCCTAGCAGTTGTGGTCACCGGAGCTGTGGTCGCTGCTGTGATGTGGAGGAGGAAGAGCTCAGGTAGGGAAGGGTGAGGGGTGGGGTCTGGGTTTTCCTGTTCCTCTGGGGGTTTCAAACCCCAGGTAGAAGTGTTCCCTGCCTCATTCCTGGGAAGCAGCATCCACACAGTGTCTAACCCAGCCTGGGACCCTGTGTGCCAGCACTTACTCTTTTGTGTAGCACATGTGATAATGAAGGACGGATGTATCACCTTGATGATTATGGTATTGGGGTCCTGATTCCAGCATTCATGAGTCAGGAGAAGGTCGCTGCTAAGGACAGACCTTAGGAGGGCAGTTGGTCCAGGACACACACCTGCTTTCCTCCTGTTTCCTGATCCTGTCCTTATAGTTCTGCAGTCTTAGTTCTGGAAATTTCTCTAGGGTCCAAGACTAGGAGGTTCCGCTAAGGTCTTATGGCCCTGCATCCTCCCAGTCCCCTCACAGGATATTTTCTTCCCACAGGTGCAAAAGGAGGGAGCTACTCTCAGGCTGCGTGTAAGTGGTGGGGGTGGGAGTGTGGAGGAGCTCACCCATCCCATAATTCCTCCTGTCCCATGTCTCCTGCGGGCTCTGACCATGTCCTGTTTTTGTTCTACCCCAGCCAACGACAGTGCCCAGGGCTCTGATGTGTCTCTCACGGCTTGAAAAGGTGAGATTCTTGGGGTCTAGAGTGGGGGGGGGGGTGACAGAGGGGAAAGGCCTGCATGATGGAGATTCTTTGATTGTGACGTTTCAAGTGTGTGGTGGCTGTTCAGAGTGTCATCACTTACCATGGCTGACTTGAATTTGTTCATGACTGTTGTTTTCTGTAGCCTGAGACAACTGTCTTGTGTGGGACTGAGATGCAGGATTTCTTCACGCCTCTCCTTTTGTGACTTCAGGAGACTCTGACATCTCTTTCTGCAAAGGCATCTGAATGTGTCTGTGTCCCTGTTAGCATAATGTGAGGAGGTGGAGGGACAACCCACCCCTGTGTCCACCGTGACCCCTGTTCCCACGCTGACCAGTGTTTCCTCCCCAGTCATCTTTCCTGTTCCAGAGAGGTGGGGCTGGATGTCTCCATCTCAGTCTCAACTTTAAGTGCACTGAGCTGCAACTTCTTACTTCCCTACTGAAAATAAGAATCTGAATATAAATTTGTTTTCTCAAATATTTGCTATGAGAGGTTGATGGATTAGTTAAGTAAGTCAATTCCTAGAATTTGAAAGAGCAAATAAAGACATGAGAACCTTCCAGAATCCACATGTTCACTCTGCTGAGTCTGTTGCACGTAAGGGTGGAGAAGGCAGTGAGGAGCCCAGTGTGGACGGGGCCTGTGTCTAGTTGCTGTTCAGTTCTTCATGGGCTTTAGGTGGTCAGTCCTCAGCTGGGTCACCTTCACTGCTCCATGGTCCTTGTCCCTTCAGTGGAAACTTGTCCAGCGGGAGCTGTGACCACAGAGGCTCAGACATCGCCGAGGGCGGCCCCTGCACACGGGGTCTCTGTGCATTCTGAGACACATGTTCAGAGCCATTCACCTCCTGCCTTGCTTCTAGAGCTTCTCTTCTGCTCTGCTCTCCTGCCCTCTCTCCCTGCCCTGGTTCTAGTGATCTTGGTGCTGAATCCAACCCCAACTCATGAATCTATAAAGCAGAGTCTAATTTAGACTTATGTTTGTCTGTGAAATTGGACCCATCATCAAGGAGTGTTCTTTCCTGAAGAGAGAGCCTGGTTGTGAGTTGCAGTGTGCTGGGGTGGGGGGTGCGGGGATCGTTGCTGTAGAAAGAGGGATGGGGGAGGGAGGGCACAGAAGCAGCACTGCTGAGAAAAACATAGGCGGCCTCTATCTCAGTGTGAGGGGACCTCGTGCTGTAGCTGCCACAAAACAGCATTTGCCTAAGTCTATGTTAATAAAGATACTGCCTTTAGAATAGGGAGGTGCTCTACAGTGATCATTCATTCAACTGACCTTTGTCATTGTCCAAACATAGGACAGAATTGTTCTGCATCTGAGGAACATCATCGAAGTAAAATCAGAAAAATCTCTGGCCTTTTGTAGCACATGTTCCAGTGGGAAGAGGCAGACGATAGATACACTATAACCAGAGTAAGGAAGGAAAGTGCTAGAAGGTGGTAAGTGCTGTGAGGCAGGTGATCCAGGATGTGGGCAGTGGGGACAGGGAATGTGGCTGTTGTGCTGGGTAGTCAGTGTGTCCCTTGTTGCAAAGGTGACTTGAGGAAGGATTTGAGGGACATGAGGATGTCTGGGGAAGTTCTTTCCAGGCAGAGGATCCTCCAGTCCAAATGCACTATGGCAGGAGGGCATCTGTGTTCCCAGAAGAGCGAGGAGGCCAGGAGGGCTGGACAGAGAGAAACTGAGGTGAGGTCAGAGCAGGTGGGCTTGAGGGGAATGGGATTGGATCTGACCTTTGCTCTGAGTGGGATGAAGAGTTAGAAGACAGTTTTGAGCAGAAGCGGGCCATGATATAACTTCTCTTTTAAAAGGATCTCTGACTTCTGTGCTGGGAACAGAATTGAGAGGTGAGGGACGAGGGAGGCAGAAGGGAAAACAGTAGGAAGTGAGTACAGTATTCCAGGCTGGAGATGTCGGTGACCTTGACTAGGGCATGAGAAGGGGAAGGAGTGGGATGTGAGGAGATTCTGGATGCATTTGAACATGGACTCATAGCATTTGTCAATGAATTGTATCTGTGATGTGAGAAAGACGAATCAAGGATATCCATAGTTGTAAAATGAGTGAGTAGAAGGAAGGGTGGAGCTGCTGTCAGTGGAGATGGGGAGACTCTGGCAGGAGCATACTGAGGAGGGGGCATCACAGGCACTCAGTGGAGATGTCTACCAGGAATGCAGGTTGGGGAGATGGGGTGGAATTTGGACAGACAACTCCAGAGTTTAGAGGAAAGGAGAAATACACTGGGCAGGAGAAATCGATTTAGGAGGTCACACCATATAAACGATACTTAAAACCTCAAGCATGGATGAGGGCACCAAGGGAGTGATTGACTGTGGAAAAGAATGAGGGCAAGGACTGAACCCTGGACCTCCAGTTGTAAGGGATGTGATCAGACCACACCCAGAGCAGACTGCACAGTTCTGATCCCACATCTAGAGGACACTTAGACAAGGAACTGCCGTGTGCACAGGGATCACCCGGACGCGGTACTGAGATCCAGGAAGTCTGGAGTCGAGCAAGAGAATCTGGATTTGTGACAAGGCTGGAGTTCATGTTGCTGGTCTCCAGATCACACTTGGAGTATCAAGAACACCAGGATCCCACATGTCTGAGCATCAGCCTCACCCCTAGGGCTTGTTATATAAACGATTCCTTGGTCTTGTGCATAATACTCTGAGACAGGGGTTCTGGGGAGTGGCCTGAGTATTTTCTAAGCCCCCGCCAGCAATCCTGTTGCTCAGCCAGATCGGGAACCACTGAGATCAGAGATCAGAGAGTGCCCAGGGTGGGTGGGTGGGGTGGGTTTTCAAACCCTGTTTAAAAGAGGATTTTCCTCACAGAAAGAAAAGGAGGCTGTGTATCATCAGTTATGAGATGTGACATTCCCTGTTGTTCTCTCCACCATGGGGTGGACACCAGGTAGAGAATTCAGGATGTGGCTCTCGCACAAGGAACACCTGTGAATGCCGCTCTCTGACACCTGCCCACAGACTCATTTCTCACTCACTTCTTGGAGCAAACTATGGAAAACAAATATCTGTAATGTACACATAAAGTCGTATATCTGGTATTGGGAGCTAGTTTTATTGTGCGGAAGGCCACAGAAGCAGGCTGGAACCTACACATCCAGGAACAGAATCCACAGCCCACCCTGGATCAGGTCCCTCCTAGGAACAACTGCCCCTGCTGCTGAGCACAGACGCCACTGCCCACACCTCTGACACCTGGTGCTGGACACTGGACCCTGAGGCCAAGACAGACGTCACTGCTGCACTTGGAAACTGGACATCACTACTGTCACTCAGCAATCTTTACTAAAATGTGTTCTGCACAGTCCCAGCCTCTCTGTCACCTCATTCTGGCTCAGAGTCTGGCAGTGATATAGGAGATAAGAAGAAATTATTTAGACATGTAGTGAGGGTATGGAAGGCTTTTAATGAAAAGCAGACTCCAAATTATTTTCTTTTCTAACAAGGAGCAGCCTGTAATATCAAGCTTCAGACATAGAGAAGCAAGCTGGAAGCTTGCACGGGTGAATGCTGGCAGCTGTGCCAATAGGAATAGGACACCTGTGACTGGACATGTTCACAATGGCAACTCCATCTTCCCTTCTCTTTGCCAGGCACGTTTACAGTAAGCAGACAGCATGGCGTTGGCCAAGTGGAAAGCCCATTTGCATAATAGGATGAGGGTGAGGTGAACAGCCTTCCACACGCACTGTGTAAATATCATACCTGGTCCAACCAACCTGTGGGCCCTACATAAATCAGACACCATCTCCTCAAGCCTGCCTGTAAAATCCGATGCACTCCCATTCCAGGCCGGAATTCCCTTTTGGGTGCCCCTCTCTCTCACAAGAAGAGAGTTGTTCCCCTTTGTCCTTCTTTTGCCTACTAAACCATTTGCTCCTAAACTCACTCCTTGTGTGTCAGTGTCCTTAACCTTCTTGGCATGAGATGACAAACCCTTAGTATTTACCTGAGACAATGAACCTCTTCAGCAGGTGGTCATCGGACTGGTGGAGCTTAAGACTCATGTCCATGATCAACTGCAGGGGTGACTGGAATGTTGTCCTCATCCAGGGATGGAGGTGGTGTCTGTCTCCTCTCAATATTTTACATGTTGTAAACCAAAAATAAAAATCAAAACCACTCCCTCCCAATCATTTTAATGGACACCCTCAGCCAGTGTGCTCAAAAGTTAACCTGAAAGACTGGCTCAAGCCATCATGGAAAGCAGGTGTTGAACATGCCTCATTATGCTCTCTTCCCTTTTGGAATTCAGGAAAAGCTGACCAGGATTTACCATCAATACAGACCTTAAGTCTGATCAGAAACATCTACAATCTATTCTCCCTGAAGCCTGGCACCTGGAGGCGTCATCTGCATGAGAAGATTTTGGACTCCACAACCTCTTATCATAACCCAGACATTCCTCTCTATTGATAATAACTCAACCAATTGCCAATCAGAAAAATTAAAATCTACTTATAACCCAGAAGCACTACCCTGTAACCCTTGCTTGCTTCACATTGTTCCAATGTTCTGGACTGAACCAACATATAGCTTAAAAGTATTTGATTGATGTCACATAACTTCCTAAAATGTATAAAACCAACCTGTGCCACAACCACCTTGAGCACATGTTCTCAAGGTCTCCTGAGGGCTGTATCATGGGCTGTGGTCACTCATTTTGGCTCAGAATTAATCTCTTCAAATATGTTACCGAGTTTGACTCTTTTCATTGACAGTGTGGAATTCTGGTGTAGTAAGAGGGTTCAAGTGCTGGAGTGTGACGGGTGGGGAAAAGTGACAAATTTTAATTCTCGGAGCAGTAATCCAGGACCAGAAATTTATCTGGTACCTGGTAGGCACACAGAGTGGCTGAATGAACCAGTGACTAATAAATAACATGTTTCCACCTATTCCCTTGAGGATAGGTTATTACATCAAGTTTTCGTCTATCCCAGTTCACACTCTAGATTATTGGAGTGGCATTGTGTGATGGTGAAATGATTATTCAAACAGCTTCTCTTAGCTTTGTCTCTTACTAGGATTAAAACACCCAGGTTTGTAAGATCTCCGAGGATCTGGGTCCACACCAATGTTTTATATTAATATCTATATTTTCTTGTGTGTGGAAATATTTCTGGGGAGAGAATCTCTAACATTTATTAGTTTTTATGTGACACCCTCAAAGGCCTAAAAAATCCTAACTTCTAGGTTAGAGGTACGACCACTCCACGTCTGGACAATGAACAGCTGGTAGTAACCTGTGTTTAAGAGATTAGGGACTTGAAGTAAATGCTTACATTTTGTTTATCTTTTCCTCTGGGACCAAAAAGATAGAGGTGTACTTGCTTACTCTTACTCTAAGTTTCTCTCTGTGGGATGGTGATGGGGTTTTCCTCCACCCAAATTTCTGATTCTCCAACAGCAACTGGGAGTCCTAGAGTTCGACTCAATTCTGACACTAACTACCTGGATTTCACCTCAGACTCCACAGGTTTAAGGGCTCAGTCCCACAAGACTGTCCTCACTTCAGATGCAAGTCACAAGTATTGGGTCCCAGGTCACCTGCACTTCGGTCTATCATGGCTACAAAGTCAGGGGTCTCTCACCTCCCAAGGTTTGAGAATTCTTAAACTAACTCAAAGAACTCAGGGCGTTGCTATAGTCATGTAAACCAAAAAACGTCTGAGACAGGTCTCAGTCAGTTTAGAAGTTTATTTTGCTGAGGTGAAGATGCACCTTGGAAACAGAGACACAAACCATTGTAGCATCTGTGCCCCGTGCTTTTTCCTAACAGGGTTTTGAGGACTTCGATATTTATAGGGGAAAGAACAGCCAGAAGAGGAAAAAAACAGTCAATTATGCATTCATCTGATGCTCAGTAAATCTGCATTTTACCTAAGATAAAGTAAATGTTGGGTAGAAAAGTCACTGGGTAGGTGAAGGGATGATGTCTAGTCTTGTCTTTGCCTTGTAGCTGTGAAGATAAGCTGTTAGTTTACATTGTTGGGGGAAATTCAACAAAACTCCATTTTAGAGTAAAGATGTTGGGGCCCACAAGGAATTATCTTGTGAGCAGTTTGTGAGGGAAGCCAGCTGGGGAGATATGGGGTCTTCTGTCTTTGCAGTTATTTGTTTAGGAACAAAAGAAAGGCAGTTTTTCCATCATTCAGTCTCCAAACTTAACTTTTCCCTTTGGTATAGTGAATTTGGAGGCCTGAAATTTTATTTTCCTTTCACACTCAGTATTACAGTTTTTTTATTGTTATAGCTTAAATCCCCACCTTTTTGGCACCCGGGACCAGTTTCACGGAAGACAGTTTTTCCATGGACCAGTGGAGGTGGCGGAAGGCAGAGGGAAATGGTTTTGGATGACACTGTTGCACCTCAGATGATCAGGCATTAGTGTTTCATAAGGAGCATGCAACCTAGATCTCTCGCATGCAGAGCTCACAATAGGGTTCATGCTTCTATGAGAATCTAATTTCGCCACTGATCTGACAGGAGGCGGAACTCTGGTGGTCATGCTCATGCTCTCTCGCCCATCGATCACCTCCTGCTGTGCGATCTGGTTCCTACCGGGCCAGAAACTTGTACCAGTCCGCAGCCTGGGGGTAAGTGACCCCTGGTTTAAATTATGCCACTATAGCAGAACACCTGAGACGGGATAACTTATAACAAACAGAAATTTGTTTCATTCATGGTGTGGAGGATGGGAATTCCCACATCAAGGGACTGTATCTGGTAGAAAACAAAAGGGCAAGAGAGGGTGAGAGGTAAAGGGAAAGGGAGGTCAAACTCACAGCCTAAGGTCCTTTTATGATGAGCCTTAATCCACTAATGAAGGCAGAGCTCTGATGGTCCAATCACCTCTCAAAGGTCCCATTTCTTAAAAATGTTGCATTCGGGATGAAATATCCAACAGATGCTTTTTTGGGGAAACATTCAAACCATAGCACTTATAAAGGATATAAATGAGTGAAGGGGTGGCCTGCCCCTCCACACCTGTGGGTGTTTCTCGTAAGGTGGAACGAGAGACTTGAGAAAAGAAATAAGACACAGAGACAAAGTATAGAGAAAGAAAAGCGGGGCCCAGGGGACCGGCGCTCAGCTTACAGAGGACCCACGCCGGCACCGGTCTCTGAGTTCCCTTAGTATTTATTGATAATTATCTTTACCATCTTAAAGACAGGGGAGTGGCAGGACAATAGGATCATTTTTAGGGAGGAAATTAGCAGTAAGACATAAGAACAAAAACCTCTGTGATATGAATAAGTTCAAAGGAAAATCCTGTGCCTTGAGATAAACCTTTTAGCAACATTGTTTCATCCTATCACATGGGGATAAACCTTGGACAATACCTAGCTTTCCTAGGCAGAGGTCCCTGCGACCTTTGGCCGTGTACGTGTCTCTGGGTAGTTGAGATTAAGAGAATGGTGATAACTTTTAACCAGCAAGCTACCTTCAGGCATTTGTTTAACAAAGACACATCCTGCACAGCCCAAAATCCATTAAACCTTGAGTCACCGCAACACAAGTCTCTTGCAAGGACAAGGTTGGGGGTAGGGTCACAGATTAACAGCATCTCAAATACAGAACAAAATGGAGTCTCTTATGTCTACTTCTTTCTATATAGACACAGTAACAGGCTGATCTCTCTTCCTTTTCCCCACAAATGAGCAGCCAGATGAAGAGGTGCACAGGGTGAGGTCTGGAAGGGCTCTGAGCACAGGAGCCTCTGTCCCCATGGAGATGGAGTTCACCACCCTCCCAGCACTTGGACACATGGATGTGCTCATCAATTGGGAAGCTCTCCGAAACCCAATCTCTAGAGGTTTCTTGTAAATTTCATTGTGTAGGCAAGATTAATTAAATCACTGGTCATAGTGTGACTGAACTCAACCTCAAGCCACTCTTTCCTTCTCAGACTTTAGGGATGGGGCTAAAAGTTCCAATCCTCTAATCACAGCTTCGTGTTTCTGGCAACCAGCCCCCATTCTGAAGCTATCTAGGAGCCCCTCACCCCACAGTCATCTCATTGCCATATTGAAGTCATGTTTATCACTGAGGAGATTGCAAATGTTTTAGAACATGGTTGTCAGGAAACAGGGACAAAGACCAAATATTTTTATTGGACCACAGATCACACCCTGGTTTTGACCACATTATCTCCTTTTATAATATTTATTATTTTATTTTAGAGATAATCTCTTGCTCTGTTGCCCAGGGTAAAATGCAGTGGCACAATCATAGCTCACTGTAACCTCAAATTCCTGGACTCAAGTGATCCTTCTGCCTCGGCCTCCTAAGTAGATAGCATTACAGGTGCACACCACCATGCCCAACTAATTTTTAAATATTTTGTAGGAATGGGTCTCACTATTTTGCTCAGGCTGGTCTCAAACTCTTGGCCTTAAACAATGTTCCTACCATTGCCCCCCAAACTGATGGAATTACAAGCGTGTGCCACTGTGCCTGGCCAATCACAGATCTCCTATACCAGAAGAATCAGAACAGTGAAAAGATCCTGGCACATTACCAGAATCCTCTTTGGTCATTAACAATTATCCTAGTGCAGTCCAAAAATAGGAATAGTCTCAGCAACACATGGCTGCACCTTTCAGGCATCTGGTGAAATCGAGCTAAAAGACAATATCATCTCTTGCTCACACCTCTTTCGAGTAGTTCGTGTAACATTGGATTTTCCTCATTACATAACCCAGGTGTTCATTCATTTACCCTCAGCTGCTATTTCTCCTTCTCTTCATTTATAATTTTGGAAGGAACACTAGGTTCTGCTACTGTGCTGGTTTAGACTGCAGGGACCAATACTGTTCTAGTAAGTGTCTCCCGTCATCCATTCCAGTTCATAGAGGGGAGGGTTATGCAGGCAGAGAACTGGGTGGCTATCTGACCCCAGGCAATACAGCTGCATTCAGTGTTAGCCCCAACTTTGCCAGATGCAGTCAAGGCACAACCTTCTTCTACAGGCCCCTAGGAATTATTACATAAAGGACATAAACTATTTTTACAGTTCATTGCTTAGGAATAATTCCTGTTTCTGGACTCTATTTGCATCCTTAGTCCTGGGACCACTGCATCAGGGATGAGAAAAGTAAGTTGAGGTGAATTACAGTCATTATTCCAGTGTCCTCCCACCATGGGAAGGAATATATGTAGATCACACCAGCACCTTCCCCTGATCCACCAGGAAAAGAGAGGATACACTCATGTCAAGTGTGAGCACACTCATGAAGGTGTATAAGCCCACCCTTCGTGCTTGTTTCCCCACTCTTGCTTTATACACCCAATGTTTCAATTGGCTATTTTAATTTTCTATGGAACTCTTCCCTTGAGGAGGATGTCTCTCTGACCGTTGTTGGACATTTTGAGCAGGTGCATTTTCCGGTGTAAAGAAATGTGACTCAGTGGTCCACATGGTTGCAGTACCTCCCATTCAAGTTCTATGTAGCACTCCGAGCATTTGCATCTGAGACGAAGCAGGGACCTCTCTTAGAAGCCTGCCAGGGTCTCCCAACCTGGAAATAAAGAAAACCCTTCAGTTCCTTCAAGAGAAATTCCAGGCACCTGGTCAGCCCTAAAAAGTAAGTGAGTGACCTTATAAGCAAGAAGGTAATGATAGCTTAAAACAATAGCCAAGGAAGTTATAGTCACAACATCTTTGATTCTCTACAGAAACTAAAAATAAC